GCTGGCAACAAGAAGTGACATGTTTAACACTGTTATGGACTCCTAGCAACATATTAAAAAGTGTCATCAATTGTTAAATAGGCTAGCAACATGCTAGAAACATGTTAAAACATGCTAACACATAGCTAATTTGCTAAAGCATGCTATTAATACAATGGAACAGGATGTTGCTGTAACTCAGGCATGCAATGTCCAATCAAGTGTTGTCAAAAGACCCGCTACTTCAGTACCAAGTCGGTACTAAAAAAATGAAAACGTTACAGTACCAGGTTTTTTTAGGAGCAACGTTTGTGAGTGGAGCGCTTATTTGATTGCAGCTGTTACTGGGGAAACCTCTATCCCTCCCGCTTTACAAACACCTCCTGCTGGCAGAGAATGAATTTGCATATATATGCCACCACAAATAGAGTGCAAGTCTGGGAGAAACACTGCTTGTTATGAATATTTATCAATATTTTAATTTGAATGTAGGATCGAAACGAACGCTGTTAATTAGAGTAGTTAATCGTTAGCATAAGCACGGCTAACGCTAATATAATGAGCATTACAATGAAGTTTCTTTATTAACTATTTAATGCTCCTATAACTTTTATTAGGGTAAAAAACAACAGGAGGACATGATATTTATTATTTTTACACACCAGAGGCTTTTAAATGAATTGTGAATCTAAAATATGTGTGTTAGAGAATGTACAAATGGTTAACATTGTGTTATCAGTCCGAAGTTTTTTTTGTTTTTTTTTTAGCTAACTTAGTTGTTATTCTTGGCTAAATAGCTCTAGGTTTTTATGTACACAGTTTGGATTAAATTAAAGTAGTCCAATTTTTTAATTAGCATGTTTTTGTGTTTTGCTTTGGTACCGAAATTGGTACCGAGAACTGTGGATTTTCACTGGTATTGGTACCGAACACTGAAATTTTGGTACCGTGACAACACTAGTCTAATCTGCCCCAAACTTCACATGTTTGATCAGCGTCCTGGCCTGAAGACATCTACATGCCAATATTCAGTTATAGTCATAGCGCCACCTGCTGTCAATAGGAAGTGACATGTTTAACACTGTGATGCACTATTAGCAACACACTAAAATAAGCCATTGAGTGCTAAACATGCTAAAAACCATGCTCAAACGTGCTAGCAACACTTACTAAGTGCTAAAGCATGTTATTAATGCCATGAAACAGGAAGTTGCTGTAACTCATGCATATAATGTCCAATCTGCTCCAAACTTCACGTTTGATCAGACTCAGAGTCCTGGCATGAAGACATCTATATGCTCATATTCAGTTGTAGTCATAGCATCAACTACTGGCAACAGGAAGTGACATGTTTAACACTGTGATGCACTATTAACAACACTGTAAAATATGCCATTGTGTGCTAAACACGCTAGAAACATGCTAGCAACACTTACTAAGTGCTAAAGCATGCCACTAATGCCATGAAACAGGAAATTGTTGTAACTCAGCCACACAATGTTCGATCTGCCCCAAAACTTCACACCTTTGATAAGAGTCCTGACCTGAAAATATCTACAGGCCATTATTCAGTTATAATCATATCACCACCTGTTGGCAAAAGGAAATGACTTGTTTTACACTAACCTCAACATGCAATGTCCGTTCTGCCCCAAACTTCACATGTTTGGTAAGAGTCCTGGCCTGAAAACATCTACATGCCAATATTTAGTTATAATTTATAGCGCCACCTGTTGGCAACAGGAAATGTCATGCTTTACACTAACTAAAATATGCAATGTCCAGTCTGCCCAGAATTTCTTGTTTGATAAGAGTCCTTGGCCTGAACACATCTAAAGGCCAATATTCACTAATAATCATAGCGCCACCTGTTGGCAACAGGATATCTCATACTTTACACTAACTCAAACATACCATGTTCAGTCTGCACCAAACTTAAGATGTTTGAGATAAGTCCTGGCCTGAAGACATCTACATGCCAATATTCAGTTATAGTTATAGGAAGTTTGGCACATATAAATGACTGACATATTCCTCCTATATTTACCATTTTAAATGCATATTGCCCAACGTTCACTGTTTTCCTAAGGCCAACGGGTGGTGGTGAGCCCGGGTGCGAGGGCCCTTTCAACGCTGCTTGCAGCTTTAATTCACAGCCTGATTTTTCCAAAAATCCACATTCAAACCAAAATAGCTGACTTCCTGTTGATCGTATCTAATGAATGCAAATTAGAAAGTCGTCCGGCTTGATGAGAACAATATATGTTCCGAGTTTGGTGCAGTAGGAAAAACTAACCCCATCACTTTAGTCAAAAGGTAGCGCTATAGTGCACCTCCTTCACGCCCATTTATGAGCTTTTGCCAGTGTCTAACTATCATTAATAATGATGTGTGTCGAGTTTCATGAAATTCTGAGCATGGTAAGTGCCTTAAAAACACCTGAAAAAACATTCAAGTTTGACACGTTGCCATGGCAACAGTAATTAAGATATCAAGAATCCCTTCTCAGTTTTACATCGGCCGTGTTTTGACATTATTCTGATGAAGTTTGAAGAAAATAGAGTAAAAATAAGAGGCTGATTTCAAAGTATTTTGAAAATGACACTTCCTGCTGCCAGCTGGTGGCGCTATAATTTGACTCCTAATATTCACATCTATGTGATCAGCCTTACAACGAACAAACTGCTGAATTTTTATCAAAATCAGACAATGTGTGCAAAAGTTATTAGACACTTCCTGTTTCTCATTTCTTGCCATAATTTCGTCGCATCGCCATGGCTAAACTGTCCGAGATATCAAAAATCCCTTGACAATTTTGCATCCCCAATGTCTTGAGATTATGTTGACAGAGTTTGGTGGCCAACAGATGAAAATCCTAGGAGGAGTATTGCTAATTCCACAGTATGCACTTTTCACAAAACCCTGAATAGCCGACTTCCTGGTGGGCAGAGGGGTGACCGTCACCACGAAAGTTGTTCATCCTGATGCAGGGCTATACGTTAACTTTTTTTTCACATAGCACTGGTGCTACAGAGGTTGAAAGTTTTGTAGCACAGGCCAAAAAGTTGTAGCACACGTATAAAATGTCTGTTCATGTCTGAAAACAAACACAAGTAATGGAGTTCCATCACTTAAATAGGCACTGATGTTCCATACAGAGTACAAAAAATACAAACCATCACAAAAATTGTTTTTAGACAGTTTTCTTAATTTGCTAAAAATGGAAGAGTGCAGAAACAGAACACCTCTTACACCTTAAAATATAAAATAAAAAGAATGGCAGACATTTAGGCCAAAGTGAGCAAAGATAAAAATCTTTGTCATTATTTTATCTTTGTTATTAGAAAATAAGAACAAAGATATACATTACAAATACACATAATATACAAATAAAACAAACAGTGCTTTATTTTTCAGGTACAGTATTTAGCAGTAACATTCAAGAAATTGAATGAACAAATATTAAAATAAAACACTGTATACACTATATACATCAATTATACTTTTTTTAAGCAACTGACTGATGATAAGTCAAGAGCAGTGAGTGATTTTTTTTCTGTTTTGTTGTTTTATTAACATTAAAAGAATAGTTCACCAAAAATGAAAATTTCATTTTTCAATTCTTTCAATTCTGTATTAATGACAGTCGGCAGCATGTTTAGTAGTTATTGTCCCTTTAAGAGCTGCACGCGTTTCTCTCTCAACTGTTTACTTTAATTTTAGAAATACAACAATATTTCTTCAAAAGCTGATCGTGGAGACATTTTAATCGTCCACGATCAAAAATCGTCATATTGCACACCCCGTAGCAAGGATATCGCACAGACCAGTTTTTTCGTAGCACGTGCGACATATATGTCTGCACTGAACATGCACTGTACAGCCCTGTGATGAGACCTTCATGTGTATGAATTTTGATGACTGTAGGTCAAACGGTGTGCACTACAGAGCCCCTCAAAAATGTCCTTATTGAAGGCTGTGTCACGTGCCCCACCAGTGACCACCTGTGAAAGTGTCATTCCGCCAGCCTGTGTTCTGTCATGAGATCTTGACTATTTTGTTTGTGGTTATAGATGCTGAATAAATGCACTTACTCAGAAACATTATTGCAATTTGGAATTATTGGAATTACTATTAGGAATTTTACTGTTAAAATATTTTTTGCTTGTTTTTGCCAGTTTTCATAATGTAGACAGAGAGAGTGCATATCTAAGTCTTTGATATTAATTTATAAATTAAATAGTATGTAATAAATCAGAACACTAGATGACATAAAATAAGCTGTGTATGAGTTCACATTCTATTGATTTGTGCTTATTGGTGAAAGTGAAGTCTTTTCGATTATAATTTTGAGCAAAATGTATTATTATTATTATTTTATCAGTTTATATTATTATTATACAGCATGAAGAAAATGTGACAAAGTTTTCAATGACTAAAACTTGACTAAACACAATCAGGAAAAGTTTGACTAAATATGATACCTAAAAAGTACATGACACCAAGACTAAGACTAATTTAAAAGACTAAGACTAAGACTACATTAAAAATGGCTGACAAATACTACTAAACACTATTCCAAAATGCACTACTGAAGTGATGACACTGCTGGCTGTCCCAAATGAACATTTTGTCAAGTGAAGTAAACATGCTTAGGGAATAGGGAGCACTGAACACTGCATAGGTGCCCCGTCAATTGAAACGCAGCTCAGTTCATGGATCTCTCCTCCAACAGGCTGATAATTTGAATCAGGTGTGTTACAGACAGACATATGAAATATGGAGAGTAGGGGTGCCAGGACCAGGATTAGACAGAGGTCATCTTGTGCAATTTTGGCTACAGACTGCATGGTTCCCAGTGGATCTATTCCTGTATCTTTCAGTTCAGTAGAGCCTGTCTTCATGTTAATCTAGACCCAGTTTCGTACATCCAGACTCTGATACCAACCACTTTCAGAGTGGCAAAAATCAGTAACATAGGGCAATATAATTAAATTTCAAAATATAGTGCTTTTTTTTACCTCTGTGACATCCATGACTTTGATTGCTGCCAGCTGTCCTGTTTTGACATGTCGACCCTGTAGATGAAAACAAAGGATTAGTCAGCAGCCTCACATATGGGAAAATATTCTTACCTGGTGAATGTACAGTAGGAATGCGTGACAGTTGACAGTTCCACCCAAGATTGATATATCTTTCACGACTTTTCGAGAAACTTGAAATGAAAATTGACTCTGAAATCACTGGTTTAAAATATTAAATAGTTCAACAAAGTATTAAAGGAATGGTCAACCCCAAAAAAAACATTTCCTTACTCCCATGTTGGTTTCTGTGCAACAGAAAAGTGGAAAAGTTTTTTTTTTAAATCCATTCAATGAAATACAATGGGGTCCAAAGTTATTTTGAATCCCACTGACTTTCACCGTTGACTACCTAGCAACGTTCTAGCAGCCACACTCTAGCAAGCACACAGAAATCTATCTGAGACACTTCAAACTTTGAGCTTTTAAGACTACTTAAAGGTTAGCTCACCCAAAAATGAAAGTCATCCTAGGTGTATATGACTTTCTTCTTTCAGACGAATCCAGTCGGAGTTATAGTAAAAATTGTATTTGATCTTTCAAGCTGTTTACTGGCACTCAGCGGGTGTTGCAGTGCTTCAGTCCAAAAGAAGTGAAATAAAAAGCGCCCATCCATAAAAAAAAGTCTCACACGGCTCCTGGGGGTGAACAAAGGCCTCCTGTAGCGAATCGATGCATTTTTGTAAGAAAAAATCCATATTCAAAATGTAAATAACTTTAATGTAGCTTGCACCAACAGTTGTACACAGAAGCAGCTCCGGGAGGATGACGTATAAGGTCGGCATTGCGCATGCGCCGGTGAGTCTCGTGAAAACCAATGTTTGTTTACAGGATTAAAGGAAGCAAAGTTTCCTTACTTTAGCAAAGGAAAACCAGTCTCCTCTTGGCTTATATCGAAATCCTCTGACATTCTTCTTTACAAATCCTCGTTTTGTGCTTCTAATTAGTGACCGTTGTTTTGTTTTGATCTCTCCCCTGCACTTCCGCGTTCGTCACTTCTGAGCGGCGAATGCGCAAAGCCGACCTCATACGTCATCAGCCCGGTACTGCTTCCGTGTACAACAGTGAGCGCAAGCTAGATTAAATTGATTACGTTTTAAAGATGGGGTAAGCGATTTCTGGTAGCCAATGTTGACATTTGAAATCACCAAAACAAACACGCCCCTACCCCAAAAGGGTCTCGCCCCTATTTTGATAGCTCCGCCCCACACATACGTACGCAACCCAGGCAACGATTAGTTCTGTGAAACAAAGTAAAACCAATGTTACACCGTGTCTACACTGGACGTGAGTGGCACGGCGCGACAAAATACTATGGAACTCATTATAATCAGTGATGCTGTCTACACTGTTACGTTCCACGTATGTTTTGTGATATCGTCTTTTCCTCGCTCTCCTGTCTTTGTGTTATTTTTTACTCTGCTTCTAGGTCGGTGTTTATTGGCTGACTGGACTGTCAACCATCATTCTGACGTCATGATGTTCTGCCAATCCGCTGACGTGCCAGCTGTAATGGGGGCCTCAAGTTGATTGTGTGTGTGTGCGCCACGCCAGCGTACCTTGTGCTCCAACGCGGTCAGCTGTCTCGTGTTCGACATTAGTTTCAGTCTCCTGATGCTTAATGCATCTTGTCTTATATGGAGTCATGCTTTGTGTTGTGTGATTTAATCTATTCACAGTTTCGTTCTTTGGCTATTGACCTGTATTGTCTTCTATGTGAAAGATTAAGCTGATGTCCGTGATAAGAGTTTTAGTCTTACCACGTGTCCAGTTCAAAGTTAAGAATGCATTCCAGTGCATCGAGCTACTTAAACAAACTTGTCTCTCGGTGAGGATTCAAATGTCTAGTCAATCGTTGTTACGATCTTGTTTGTTTTGTTTGTTAGATTAGTTTGTACTTTGTTATATTAGGTTTGTGAGTGTTACGCCACCCTTGTACTTTTGTTTTTTAGTTTAGTTCGGGCGTCGTACACGCCGAAGATTTCGGTTTTATTTTCATATTTATTTTTTTTGTTAGTTAGTTAGTTTATTTCTTTGATTTGGGTGACACTCCTGGCTTTTTTTCTTTATGTGCTAAATTTCATATTTATTTGTACCTTTTCACAACGCGTCCAGTAAAGACTTCTAAAATTACTTTTCAGTTGTCATCTTTGGTCTGTTCCACACCCAGTAATACTTGTCTCACTTAAATGTTACGGTCATCCCTCTTTAACATCAAGCACGTATCATTTATTGGTGGCAGCGGTGGGATAATTCCTTTGTTGGGATGATATGTGAGACATATTGTTGCTGGTGTGATAATGGATCAATCCTGAACAGAGTATTGTTTGAATGGTAAGTTGGAGGCTGTTTAGTAAATGTTAAACATAATCGGTATGGCTGACTTTGATCTGGAAAGTTCCATTAGTGCACCAACTGTCGAACAATTAGATGCATACAGAAAGGATGATTTGTTGAGAGTTGCCGAGCATTTCCAAATTTCAGTTACTAGACAGCAGTTAAAACGAGATATTAAGAGCGTCCTTGTGCAGCATTTAGGGGAACTAGGAGTGTTGGTGTTGGCTGATAGTTCACCTGGCGTTGATGCTCGCCCTTCTAGGACAGGCAAGGAGGAAGCGAGTGGAGCTGCTGCGGCGGAGGGTTCCGAAGCCAAAGCTGCTTTGCCGCTCTTCAAACCTTTTTCTCCGGCTGAGGTGGAGTCTGAAGGTGAGGCGCGCCTCAAAATATGTCTTGCTAGACTTCAAAGTGAAGAGTGCGAGAGATTAGCGGAAAGTCACGCCGAAAGGGAACTGCGACTTGAAATCCGTCGGCTGGAAATCGAGGCGGACAAGCAAATCAAGCTGCGTGAGCTTGAACTGAACGCAGCCAGAGACACACCGGTTCCACCTGTGCAGCCTGCGCAGAATGCTGCAGCCTCGACTGACTCGGGGTCATCCGGGAGTACGTTTGATGTGAGTAAACACATATTGCTTGTACCTCAATTTAGAGAAGGCGAGGTTGATTCTTATTTTAATGTATTTGAATGAATTGCCTCCGCTCTACAGTGGTCTAGAGATGTTTGGCCTTTGCTTCTGCAATGTAGGTTAACTGGAAAGGCTCAAGAAGTATGCGCTGCTCTGTCTTTGGAGGACAGGTTGGATTATGGCGTTGTTAAGGCGGCAATCTTGCAAGCATACGAACTCGTACCGGAAGCATATAGGCAACGTTTCAGGAACCATAGGAAAAAATTCAGGTCAGACTTTTGTAGAATTCTCTAGAGAAAAATGTGTGTTGTTCGACAAGTGGTGCACATCGAATAAAGTGTCAGATTTTCAGGTGTTGCGTGAATTAATTCTTTTGGAGGAATTTAAGAGCTGTATCCCTCATTGTGTGAATATCGTATTGTGGTTTACCTCAATGAACAAAAAGTAACTTCTTTGTCTCAGGCATCTGTTTTTGCTGATGAGTTTACATTGATTCATAAACATGTTTTTACTCCAGCTCGTATTTAGAAAGTTTTGCCTGTTTCGTCTACTTCAAAGGACCAGTCACGCTTGAAAAGTAACGCAACAAAAACTAGAGAGGATTGGGAGTTTTTACGGTCATAAAGCTGGACATGTTATTGCTGATTGTCTTGCGTTAAAACGCAAGCAACAAGGCACCAGTACTAAAAGTGTTGCTTTTGTGAAAACTGATTTCGTTGATGCTGAGAGCTGTGAAAAATTTTACGCTAGTTATCAACCTTTTCTGATGGAAGGGTTGGTCTCTGTTGATGACAAGCTTATAAATCAGGTAAAGGTAACCATGCTTTGTGACACTGGCGCCATGCAGTCATTCATAATGACGGATGCGTTGCCTTGTCCTGAGCAAACTTTTTGTGGTAGTCGTGTGTTGGTTCGAGGTATTGAGATGGGTACAGTGAAAGTTCCTCTGCATCAGATTTATTTGAAATCAGACTTGTTCACTGGAGTTGTGAAAGTTGGAGTGCGTGACAATTTACCTGAGCGAGGGGTGAACTTAATTCTTGGCAATGACATAGCTGGTGGGAGAATTATGCCTTTGTTAGAGGTTTGTGATAAACCGGAGTTGTCCGTATCCACCGATGAACTGTCGGAAAAGTTCCCTGAAGTTTTTCCTGTCTGTGACGTTACGTGTGCCCAGGCTTGTAAATTTGCTGATGCAGATGACTTGCTTTCAACTTTCATGGCCCCTACTTTCGTGAATGATGTTTTGATGGTCGATGATGGTAAACCTGAATCTGTCGTTTCAAATTCAAATAATTTGAAATTGCATGTGACACGTGATAACCTTATTGATGCTCAGAAAGATGACTTCACTTTACGTAAATGTTTTTCTTCTGCCGTTTCTGCAGAGGTGGCACAGGAGAGAAAAGTTGCTTTTTGCATGAAGAATGGAGTGTTGATGCGTAGGTGGTGTCCTGACGATTTGAATGACTCTGAATTGAATGGAATGTGTCAAGCCAGATCGTCGTTCCTGCGTGTTACAGACAGACCGTACTCTCCCTGGCTCATGACCATGATTTATCCAGGCACTTGTATATTAAGAAAACATACCACCGAATTTTAAAACATTTCTTTTGGCCTCAATTGAAGACCAATGTGGCGAAGTTTTGTAGAACGTGTCAGACCTGTCAATTTTCGGGTGAGCCGAACCACACTATTCCACGCGCTCCATTGGTTCCTATACCAGTTGTGGGCAAACCTTTCGAGCATGTTATTGTCGATTGTGTGGGTCCTTTGCACAAAACAAAAGCTGGTAACCAATATTTACTGACGATGTGCGCAGCGACGTGTTTTCCCGAAGCGATTCCGCTTAGGAAAATCACGGCGCCCATAATAATTAAAGTGCTGGTGAAATTTTTTTCATTGTTTGGACTGCCCACAGTTGTACAGACTGACCGAGGTACAAATTTAATGTCAAGTCTCTTCGCTCAAGTGTTAAAAAACTTCTCACCGGATTTCGAGTGCATATCATCCAGAAAGCCAAGGAGCCTTAGA